CAGATTCTCCTGATCTCTCAGGATACCTTTAGTGAAACATCAGGAACAACCCAGTGTAATAGTATTACTAGTCCTTCACATGCTTCTTCAGTAAGCTTTAGCAGGGATTCCCCCCAAAATTTCAAGTCATGTATGTCTCAAATTGCAGACAATAGTCAACCTCTCACTGTTTTACACTTAACCAGCAGCATGCCAATCCACCTAACCTGCACATCTTTGGACTTTGGAAGGAAACTGGAGCACCTGGAGGAAATAAACACAGACAGGGACAGAACATGCAAACTCCACGTAGACAGTCGCCTGAAGGTGGAATTGAACAGTGGCGGAGACCCGGGTTCGATTCCAACTACGGCAAGTGTCTGTGTGGAATTTGCATGTTTTCCCCGTGTCTGCGTGGGTTTCCTCCCACAATCCAAAGATGTGCAGGTTAGCTGGATTGCCCATGCTAAATTGCCCATCGTGTCCAGGGATGTGCAGGCTAGGTGGGTTAGTCATGGGAAATGCAGAGTTCTGGGGATGGGGTGGGTCTGGGTTGGATGCTGTTCAGAGGGTCAGTGTACACTTGATGGGCCAAATGTCCTACTTCCACACTGTGGGGATTCTATGATTCAGTAGTGTAGAACTGATCCCAATCCTGGAGCATTTCAAAACACTTGACAGCCAATCAAGTACTTTAAGCTGGATGGGTATATGAATAGAAAGGGTTTAGAGGGATTTGGGCCAAATGCTGGCAAATGGGACTAGATTTATTTAGGGTATCTGGTCGGCATGGAAGAGTTGGACTGAAGGGCTGTTACCATCTTGTACATCTCTATGAGGCGTTCTGGATGTATTAACAGCTGGTTTTGAGTATTTACCTGAAGCTTGCTGACAAGCTCAGACAGCATTCATCTTTCTAGAAATAATTTCAAGTTACGCATTAACAGTCTGTCTTAAACATAAATTAGTCTTGTAATCAACAGCCAAGAATGGAATGATCAGTGAGTCAGTGCAACTCCAGAGGAACACTTTGTGCCTTGTTTTAATGACACTGTTCTTAGAAAGAGGCATAATTTTAAGTTCTGAGGAAGGGTCACCGGACCCGAAACGTTAACTCTGTTTTCTCCTTCACAGTTGCTGGCAGACCTGCTGAGCTTTTCCAGCAACTTTGTTTTTGTTCGTGATTTACAGCATCTGCAGTTCTTTTGGTTTTTATTTTATAATTTTAAGTGAACTTCCTTGTTATTGCAGACATACTGATGGATGAAAACAAGAATTTAACATGGCAAAACATGTACTGTGTATTAACATCTAATAGTCAAATTGTTTTCCTAAAATTGTGCATACCAATGATGGCTTCTTGGGTGAGGTACCTAAAACCACTCATAATTATGGTATTGAATCCAAACCAGGAAGTGAGAGCTGCAGAATGAGAGGTTATAAAATGAGAAAAAATGATATTCTGTTCTCCCTAAGGTATATTTTTTCAAACTATTTTTGCTGGGAGAGGGTGAGGGGGGAACTCATGGGGTCATGTGACCTTAGTCAACATTGACCAGCGGTTTGCAGAAATATATCAAATTTGAGATAGATGGGTAAGGTTAAAATTTCCCCAGTGGTGCTATTCTGAAGAAGACAAAGCAAGATGCCCAGGTTTAAGCCTTAGTCTCCACAAAGTTAGAAAGAAAAACTTCCATTTATATATCACCATTTATGACTTCACTCCAGCACAAACAGTTCTGAGGAAGGGTCATTCAGCCTGAAATGTTAACTCTAATTTCTCTTCACAGATGCTGCCAGACCTGCTGAGTTTTTCCAGCAATTTCTGTTTTTGCTTCTAATATACAGCATCCACAGTTCTTTCATTTTTTATTCGAGATACAACGAGTACGCTTTTGCAAAGCATAGACCAGCTGAGTTAAATGGATCATTTCCAAGCTTATCTGTAATGTTCTTACTGTCAAAAATGTTGTCAACACATATTGAGTATTTCACACACAAAGTGTAGTATGAAACACTGTTGAATGGTCAACAGCTTGGGAACCATACTATAGTATCATTAGTCCCTTCAGGATGATAGGAGAACAAGGTAGTGGCTGTGGGTGTAGATATGAACTGGTGAAGGGAGAAGGGCATTGAATTATAATCTATGCTTAATATTTATGCATATGTACCATTTCCAATCTAAGATGACATCAGGCACAGGGGAAATAAAACTGTGCATAAACTTGATTCTTGACTTGATGAGATGAGCAGGAGGAAATGACACTGAGGTTAGTCCCGAGTGGATGAATAAGTTGCAAATTGGGAGGAAAGGGCAAATTAAGAACTATCTCAATGGGCAATATGTAGAATATTCAAAGAGCTATGGAGAATTTATTCAAGATTGGGACACCAGGAAAATAGTGAAGGATTCGGGTAGAGATAATGAATGCATGAATTTATTTATTGTCACGTATGTCTAGGGAGATACAATGGAAAATGTTCTATCACCACAATCTGGAGCCATTTTGAGGGAAAAAAAATAAACAGAAAGTACTTAAATTGAGTTCATCTTCATCAGCCAGGGTCCCAAAAATGCCTCCAGGTCTGCTGCAAGGTCCCCGCTCTGGCTCTGTTACAGCCAGGAGCATTGCTCCACCATCATTGCAGCCGACACCCCACTCCATTTCAGGAGTCCATGCAACGGGCCTACAAAGCCAGGAGTCCCCACTTCACCATTGCTGCGGCTGATGCCCTGCTGCCTTTCCCGGAGTCCACACATTGGGCCTATGAGCCAGGAATCATCGCTGACACTGCTCTGGCCTCCCCGCGATGTGAGGGAGATGGAGTAAAGAAAAAGGGAAAAAGGCTGTCAAGGTACACCAGAGGGGAGAAATAAGAAGTGACGCGTGGGTGACTGGAAGGTGAGAAGGCAGGGAGTGAGAGAAATACAAAATCAATGAACATCTGAACAGAATTGCAGCCAAAATTGAACACTTCTGTCTACCTTCTGATAGCAATGAGTTTAAAAAGCGATGTCCTCGGTCAAAATCTTTTGCTTACATTGATTTTGATTTGTTAGTACCACCCTCCCTAATTGTTCTCCTTATTACTGCAGTGTTTTCTCCCTTTGACCATTTATCCAAATCCCTTTTAAAAATTACTATTGAATCTGCTTGTGCCACGTTGTGAGGCAGTGCATTGCAGATCATAAAAACTTGCTCCGTAAAAGAAATTGTCCTGGTTTCCCCAATGGGCATGTTGCCACTTATCTGAATGGTGTTAGTGATGATGAAACCCATGAGTTGAAGTTCACCAACTTAGTTGGTTTTTATATTTGCCACTCTGAATGCTGTCAAACGAAAGGCAGAGCAATCAGAGACTGTAATCCCAGAACAGAACTTGCAAGATGTTCTGCCTCCAGCGCCCAATCTTCATAGGGACCAGAACGAAAGTATGAGGAGGACAAGTAGGAATGGGGACAACAGGGAGAGAAGAAGAGAAGACTCCCTCATTGGAAAATGTTGCCTTGAGCCATGATGTTGATCTTACCTTGATGTTGCATTCAAATGGAAAATGCTTTCAGAGCATTACAGACTACATGACAACAAAGAGGACAAATGCAGAACCTCCCTCTCTCCAAACCGTTCTCAAGAAAGAAGAATTAAAGAAGAGAATCCTGGATGATCTGCCAGGAATGCCACTTGCACAGGATTGCTATAGCTGTTCACAGCCTACAGCAGTATTCAATAAAGTTCAATGAGGAACAGCACCTCATCTTCTGGCTAAGCACATTACAGCCTTCTGGACTCAACATCGAGTTCAACAATTTCAGGCCATGAAACCGGTGCCACATTTTGATTCTGTTCCTTTCGCCATATGCTGGGCTGAATCTTGATTTATAATGTTTTTTGCTTCTGGACTGTTCATTTACATCCGCTCAAGAAAAATGCTTTTTCACGACAGTCATTACCACTCCCTTTACCTTTTGTTTCATGACACTTTTGACATAAAGGGCCATATTTTCTAAGGAGTGGCAATCACATGCAGATTGCCATTTCAACTCCTTCAGTTTTATATGCCAAAGGAGCTCTGCAGGAGACAGGAGATTCTGATCAGAGCTTCTTCAGAAATGCAGAGCCATACTTCCGTTCTGACAAGTCCCTGTAGCACTGAACCGTGGAGGGGGAGACAAACGTTGTCCCTTTTTCCCACAGCAGTCAGCTGCCTTATTGTGAAATATAAAGGTGCAGCATCACTTTGATAGCTGTTGTGAAACGTTTAGTACATAAGGTAAGTGTGAATTTAGGGTGCCACGTGTAGGGTAGGATGCTGGGTAAATAGAGTGTCAGGGAACAAAGAAGCCAGCTAGGTGACGGAGCATTTAAAATAGATTGGGCTAGATTGGAGATAATGTATTCAGTAGCAGACATGGCGGTGCAGCCAGACCCTTGCAGGATGGAGATATTGGGACCAGCAATGGGGGAGGTTGAGGTTGGGTCCCAGGGATGGGGCATGTCAGGTATGTCGAGA